TTTCTCTTACACTCAGCACCCAAAGATCAGAAGCATCCCCCCAAATATGTTCACAGTGCTCAACTAGGGGAAATTGAAAAAACAAAAGAACCAAGGCTAAGGAATATAGGGCTTGGCAAGGTTTTGCTTTGTTCTCCATAAGATTTCCAGGAGCCTGAGTCAGCAAACCAGAGTCGATTTTCCTGCCGCTGTTGTTGTTAGGTGCTTGTAGAATGGGTTCTAATTCATAGCAACCCTACGCACAACAGAAAGAATCACTGCCCAGTCCTGCACCATCCTCAAAATCATTCCTATGCTTGAGTCCATTGTTGTGACCACTGTGCCAGTCCATCTTGGGGTCCTCTGTCGAGTCTGAGACAACTTATTCTGCTGTGGTATTTCATATGCAGCTATGATGCTGGCAAATGTGTCATTGGTATTTCAAATACCAGCAGGGTTATCTGTGGTACACAAGTTTCATAAGAGTTTCTAGAATAAGAGGTTAGGATGAAAGATCTGGCAATCTACTTCTCCAAACTAGCCATTGAAAACTTTTTTGATAAACAGAAGATTGTCAGACTCATTTGTTCTGAACATGTCATTAGGTTACCTTTTTTTTTAATTAAAGAGAGAAGGGGAAGGGAAAGAAGGAGAGGGGAGGGGGAGGAAAGAGGAGAACAGAGCAGAAGAGAGAAAGAATAGGAAGGAGAGGAAAGAAGAAAAGAAAAAGGAAGGGATAGGAAGAGAGGTGAAAGTCCAGTTACTGGATGCAGTGAAAACAGGTGACGAGACACACACAAGGATAAGCTAACTAGAGCAACTTCTCTTCAATGTGAAGAAAGGGGAAAAGTAGGGATTTCCCACGCTGTGTTAATTCAGTGACCAGAACTCAGCACAAAGGCCTGTGAAATCTGGCAGCATTGAGTAACCCTGGCTACCTCACCACCCCTCGACACACCCTCTGATATTAAAACCCCAGAGGAAGAAGAAAATGTTCCACTTTGAACCACTCAACCACAGCACAATGCGGGGCTCCAGTCTGCTCCTCTTCTGGGGCAGCCTAGGCTGGAAATGGGGCACAGGGCAAAGTGAGAGCTGTGGGACCTATGACTGGCAGGCTTCATTCAGACAACCAGGTGAGGAGATGGTCTTTATGCTTGCAGACCCCAAATGCAGGAATGTGGAGGCATTTCTTTGATATGTTAGTACTAGTATCAGCCATTCTCACTCACTCAGTCATTGGAGTTGGTTTGGACTCATAAGGTCCCTCTGTAGAGTTTCCGAGGCTATAAATCTTTACAAGAGCAGAAAGCTACATCTTTCTCCTGTAGAGTGGCTTGTGGGTTTGAACAACTGACCTTGTGGTTAGCACTACCGGGCTCCTAATGGTATTAGCTATCAGCAGCACTTACTTTGTTAATGATCAAAGAATTGTGGTGATGTTGAGATGATGGTGGGTGGTGGTTATAGTAGTGTTGATAATGATAACAGTGATGATGGTGGTGATAGTGGTGATGATGGTGACGATGGAGGTAATGGTGGTGGTGGTGATGATGATGATGGTGGTGTGGTGATGATGGTGATGGTGGTGATAATGGTTGTGATGATGGTGATGATGGGGATGATGATGATGATGATGATAGTGATGATTATGATGGTTGTGGTGATAGTTGTGATGATGGTGGTGGTGATGGTAGATTCAAGCATAATGAACTTTAATCCTTTCTCCATTTATCATGATATTATGCATTGTTCCAGTGGTGAGGATTTTTATTTTCTTTACATTGAGGTGCAACCCATACCAAAGACTTTAGCATCTGTACGCTGGAGAGCAAGTTTCAGTCTCGTCTGACATCTGTTTTGGGCTTTTACTTCTTTCTTGTCTTCTCAATGACCTTTTATTTTCTTCCTGTATGATGTTCTTGATGTCATTCCACAACTCATAATTTCTAGTCATTAGTGTCTAATGTATCAGAGCTGTTCTTCAGATGATATCTAAAGTCAGGTGGGATGTGTTCAAGGTCATATTTTGGCTCTTGTGGCCATGTTTTAATTTTCCTTAGCTTCAGCCTGAATTCGCGTATGAGCAATTTATGGTCTGTTCCACAGTCTGTCCCTGGCCTTTTTTGACTGATGATATGGTGTTTTCTCACCATCTCTTTCCACAGATGTAGTCAATTTGATTTCTGCATATTCCATCTGGTGAGGTCCATGTATACAATTGTTTTTTTATGTTGTTAAAAAAAACAATTTGCATTTAAGAAGTCATTGGTCTCGCAAATTTCTATCATATGATCTCTAGAATAATTTGTATTACCAGTGCCATATTTTCCAACTACTGATCCTTTTTTTTGTCTCCAAAATTTGCATTTAAATAACCAGTAATTATCAATTTATCTTGATTGCAAGTTTGTTTAATTTCAGACTGAAGAAGTTGATGGAATTCTTAAATTTCATCATCACTGGCTTTAGTGGTTGGTGCATAAATCTAAATAATATTTATATTAACTGGTCTTCCTTGTATGCGTTTGGATATTGTCCTATCATAGACTGCATTATACTTCAAGACAGATCTTGAAGGGTTCTTTTTGATGATGAATTTGACACCATTCCTCTTCAACTTGTCATTCCCTGCATAGTAAACCATGTGCATCATGTCAGATGCAAAGTGGCTAACAGCAGTCCATTTCAGCTTTCTTATGCCTAGGATATCAATGTTTATGTGTTCCATTTCACTTTTGACAACTTCCAATTTTCCTAGGTTCATACTCCATACATTGTATGTTCTGATTATTAATGGATGTTTAAAGCTATTTCTCTTCATTTTGAATTGTGTCCCATCAGCAAATGAAGATCCCAAAAGATTTATTTAATTCACATCAGCATAGTCAACTCTACTTTGAAGAGGCAGCTCTTCCCCAGTCGTATTTTGAGTGCCTTCCAACCTGAGTGGCTCATCATCTGGCACTACATCTGACAATATTCTGGTGCTGTCAAAATGCTTCAGTATTCAGTATTCTGATGGTGTTCAATTGCTTTTCATAAGTTTCAGGGGCTAAGTCTTTGGAAGTAGTCTCTCTCTCCTTCTTCTAAGTCTGTCTTAGTCTGGAAGCTCAGCTGAAACCTGTCTACCATGGGTGACTCTGCTGGGATTCAAAACATCAGAAGCATAGCTTCTAGCATCACAACAACACAGAAGCCACCACAGTGTGACAAACTGACAGATGAGTGGTGGTCAGACAGTTTGGGAGGCTAGAAGTCCAAATTCAGGGCACTGTACCCATGGAAGGCTATCTCTGCTCTGAAGGAAAATCCTTGTTTCAGCTTCTGTAATGTTCTTCTCAGCATTCTACATGTTGTTGTTATTTTTATGTGCCATTGATTCTACTCCAACTCATAGTGACGTTATGCATAACAGAACAAAATGCTGCCCAGTCCTGCATCATCCTTACAATTGTTGCAACACTTAAGCCCATTATTGTTGCCACTGTGCCAATCCATCTCATCGGGGGTCTTCCTCTTTTTCGCTGACCCCACTTTATTAAGCATGATGTCTTTCTCCAGGACAATAGGTGCGAAGTATGAGAGACAAAGTCTAATCATCCTGGATTCTAAGGAGAATTCTAGCTGTACCTTTTCCATTACAGATTTGTTTGTTCTTCTGGTGGTCCACGGTACTTTCAACATTCTTTTGAGAGCCCCGGGGTTGGAAGGAGCTTTAGGAACTATACAAGGTGAGTGAGTATGCTGGTGGGATGGGGTGGGGACTGGGCTGGAGATGTTGGCATGGAGCAGACTGCATAGGGCTGGTTGTTTTTGTGGTTGGGGAGGGTTTGAACTGTGGGGGATTCAGTTAGAGGAAGAGGACAATGGTGAGCTCACAGAGTGGAGAGACCACAAGTGGTCAAAGGCAGGAAGTCAGTGAAGATAAGTCAAGCCTCTGCAGAAGAAAGAGGAAGCTGGAAATGAGAAGAGAGAGAGGCTCTGGGTGCAGTGCAGGGTGGGCAGCGGGAGTCCACAAGGTGCATGGCTCTGAAGTCCAGCACATTAGAAACCTGGGTGAGAACCGAGGGCAGTCATTGTCCACCGTTCATGGTTTTTAGGGCACTTTACCAAGAACATTCACATGCTATTTCACCTTCTTCCACTTCAAGGGAAAAAAAAAAAGCTTCAAATTGCTGACACCTCTCTTTCTGTTACGTCCCACACCCAATGCATTAGCAAATTGTAGGAGCACTGCCTTCAAAACAAATTCAGAATGTTATCACTACTCAGGCTCCCCACGCTCCCAAACCAAAAAGGAGTAACAACAACAAAAACACTGCTGCTGAGTTGGTTCTAACTCATGGCAACTCGGTGTGTTACAGAGTAGAACTGCTCCACAGGGTTCTTAAGTCCTGGTGTGGTGTTGTAGGATAAGCACTGGACTGCTAACCATAAAGTTGGTGAGTCAAGCCCACCAGTCGCTCCTCAGAGACTCTATAAAAGGTCGCTGAGTTGGAACCGAGTCGACAACACTTAACAACAACAGCAATCTTTGGAGAAGAAGATTGTCAGGCTAATTCTGTGGCTCCGTTGGGTGGATTCGTACCACCAGCCTTTAGGTTAGTTGTTGGGTATGAAATGTTTGTGCTGCCCAGTGTCACCCAGCCTCACTGTTCCTCCTGCCTGTCCTCTCTCAGTCCCTCTCTAGTTCATTCTCCAACCAGGGGACCCTATTACAACCTAAGTCACACTGCTCAGAACGGTCCCAAGGTTCTCTGCTCTCTCTCAGACAAAAATTCAAAGTCTTACAACGATAATACCATTAGTCCTTGTGGTGTGGACTTGAACTCAAAGAGACCCCTTGTGTATAGAGTAGAATTGAGCTCCATAGGGTTTTCAAGGCTGTGATCATTCAAAAGCACAGTGGCAGGCTTTTCTTCTGAGGTAACACCTCAGAGGTATGTCTGAGATAGTTGAAAGACCCAACTTCTTAATAGCTAAGTGCCTAACTCTTGGTGCTACTCAGGGTCATCTGCATGTCCAAATACTACTCCCTAGTGGTGTTGATGATGCTGGTCCATAGACCACCCTGTGAGTAGCAAGGAATCTTGGTGATCCTCGTCCTCTCATATGGGGTGCCCCTGCAGCTCCTCTTTGGTGCACTCTCATTGTTGCTGTTAATTGCTGGCAAGTTGACTCTGACTCATGGAGATCCCATGCATAGCAGAGTAGGATTTCTATACTCCATAGAGGTTTCAACTTTTGAGTTTTTGGAATTAGGTCACCAGCTTTTTCTTCTGAGGTGCCTTTGGGTGGGTATGAACCACCAACCATTCGACTAGTTGTTAAGTGCGTGACTGTTTGAACAATCCTAACCTTGTCCAAAACTCTTCCTTCCATGCTGCACAGATGTGGACGAGTGTGAAGATACTACCACGTGCCCCTCTTATGCCACGTGCACCAACACCTGGGGCAACTACTATTGCACCTGCAAAAAGGGCTTCCTGTCCAGCAACGCAGAAGTGAACTTCAGGGAGCCAGGGGTGACGTGTACCGGTGAGTTTATACCCTCAGGAAATTCCAGTATATGAAGGAGAAGCTAGCTGGGCTGTTGTTCTTGTTGTTAGGTGTCATCGAGTCAGTTCTGACTCATAGCGACCCTATGTACAACAGAACATTAAACTCACAATCGTTGCCACTCCTGACCACATTGCTGCTGCCACTGTGTCAATCCATCTTATTGGGGTTCTTCCTCTTTTACTCCAACTCTCCACTTTACTAAACATGATATCTGATCCCTCCTGATAATATGTCTGAAGTACGAAAAATGAATTTTGACCATCCTGGCTTCCAAGGAGCACTCTGACTATACTTCTTCCAACACAGATCTGTCTGTTCATTTGGTAGTCCATGGTACTTTCAATATTCTCCTCCAACTCCAAACTCAAATGAATCAATTCTACAGTCTTCCTTATTCACTGTCCAACTTTCACATGCATATGTTGTTGTTGTTGTTAGGTGCCATCGAGTTGGTACTGACTCATAGCGACCTTATACACGGCAGAATGAAACACTGCCCGATCCTGGGCCAACCTCACTACTGTTGCTACGCTTGAGTCCATCGATGCTGCCACTTGACCAATCCATCTCATTGGGAGTCTTCCTTTTTTTCTCTGACCCTCCACCTTAGCAAACATGATATCCTTCTCCAGCAACTGGTCCCTCTTGACAATATGTCCAAAGTACGAGAAACGAAGTTTGGCCATCTTGGCCTCTAAGGAGCACTCGGGTTGCACTTCTTCCAAGACAGATCTATTGGTTCTTTAGGCAGTCCATGGCACTTTCAGTATTATCCTCCAACACTACAACTCAAAGGCATCAATTCTTCTACGGTCTTCCTTATTCACTGTTCAGCTTTCGCATCCATATGAGGTTATTGAAAACACCATGGCTTGGGTCAGATGCACCTTAGTCCTCAAGCTGACATCTCTGCTCTTCAAAACTTTAAAAAGGTCTTGTGTGCAGAAGATTTGCCTA